CCCAGAGGCGGAAACGTCTTCTCCGCAGCAGCCAGGCTGGGAGTGAGGAGGATAAGGATGAAGAGGAGGAGGAGGAGGAGGAGAAGGAGGAGGAGGAGGAGGAGGAGGAGGAGGTGAATGAGGAGGAGGAAGAGGAGCAGAAGAGGAGGAGGTGGTGGAGGATGATGAGGAGGAGGAGGAGGAGAAATGAGTGAAATGGTGGGCGACGAAGTCGCGGGGCATGCACGGCCAGTCAGAGAGGTCCCTGGGGGAGGGAGGAGGGTGGCGCGGGCGGGTCTAGGGCGCTCCTCGGCGCCCAACTCGCCGCCGTGGGCCAGCAGCCAGACGGGGAGGCGAGCTGAAACCAGACGGTGGAGAGCAAGGCGAGATCACCAGAGCCTCCGCCTGCGGCTTCACCTGCTGTATGAACTGCGCCTCCGAAGCCTGCTGCGCCTCCACCACCAAGCGCAGGCGCTCCCAACGCAGGAGCTGCCTTACCAGCCCAAACTGCTCCACCGCCACGTGCTGCCGGCAGCCACGTGCTGGGGGCGGCGGCGGCGAGAGGCAGAACTTGCGATGCGAGTCCTCCATCGAAAGATAGTGAACAGGCTGCGACGCGCGCCCCAAGTACGCAGGGTAAACGAGGAGCACCGGAACGTGGAGGCGCAGTTCGAACCCTTTGATACCCTGCACTGGTATCCCCCAGCGTTCGCTGCCGCACACCTGGCTGAAGCGTTCAAGCCAGCAGCACAGTGGTCATCAGCTCTGGTGGGCGCGAGCCGTCAAGGGTCAAGGGTCCAAGAATGGCGCGGGCCCGAACTTGAGAGGGAGGGAGGAGGAGCGAGGAAGGGGGAGGTGGGAGGAGGAGGAGGAGGAGGAGGAGGGAGGAGGAGGAGGAGAGAGGAGGAGGAGGAGAGGAGGAGGAGGAGGTGGAGGAGGAGGAGGAGGAGGAGGAGAGGAGGAGGAGGAGGAGGAGGGAGGAGGAGGAGGAGGAGGAGGAGGAGGAGGAGGAGGAGGAGGAGTGGAGGAGGAGGAGGAGGAGGAGGAGAGGAGGAGGAGGAGGAGGAGGAGGAGGAGGAGGAGGAGGAGGAGGAGGAGGAGGAGCGGAGGAGGGATGAGGAGGAGGAGGAGGAGGAGGGGGGAGGAGGAGGAGCAGGAGGAGGAGGAGGAGGAGTAGGAGGAGCAGCAGGAGGAGGAGGAGAGGAGCAGCAGGAGGAGGAGGAGAAGGAGTAGGAGGAGCAGGAGCAGGAGGAGGAGGAGAAGGAGGAGCAGGAGGAGGAGGAGGAGGTGGAGGAGGGGTAGGGAGGAGGGAGGAGGAGGGAGGAAGAGAGAGGAGGAAAATGGAGGAGGAAAACGCTGGATGGTGGCAATTGGCGCCTTAGGGTATGGAGGTCTGAGTTGTGGAGGTACGTTGGCAGCCTTCCCTACGGCCGTCTTCGTTGGCCGAGGGGCCGTATGGAGGGCCTCGGCCCCATTCAGTGGCAAATGACGCCGTAACGTATTGGTGCATTAGTGGGAGAGGGCGACCCAAGCGGCCCCGATGATGGCAGCCGCAAGGGGTGTGAGGCCTATGATGGTCCTCACGGGTGAGGCCTACGATGGTCCTCACCGGGGTGGGGTGGGGAAGAGGGCAGTAAGGTCGGAGCGGATGTCCGACAAGAAACAAATTTGCTCGAGGGGGAAGGTGGTTCTGAGGCGGGAGTTCCTGAAAGGGGAGGGGGGAACACACAAAACTGGCATACATAGTTTCGACACCGACATGGAGGAGAAGGCCGGAGGTAGGAGACGAGAAGAGGAGAGAAGAGGGCGGAGGTGGGAGGAGGAGGAGCAGGAGGAGCAGGCGGAGCAGGCGGATCAGGCGGATCAGGAGGAGGCGGGAGGAGGCAGCAGGAGAGATGTAGAAGGAGCAGGAGGGAGCAGGAGCAACAGGGAGGATGGAGGAGGAGGGAGAGGCAGACTGGAGGAAGGAGGGGGGAGCAGGAGGAGCAGGAAGAGCAGGAGAGGATAAAAGGAGGAGTGTGGAGGGAGGAGGATGAAGGATGGAGGAGGGAAGAAATGAAGGAAGAAAGGAATGAAGATAGGATGGGGAGGAGGAGGAGGAGGAGGAGGAGGAGATCCCTCGTCGTCGTTGGAGGAGGAGGGGGAGGAGGGGGAGCGAGTTTTTACCAGATTGGGTTCCTTGGCGAACGCGGAACCCTGCCGGGCGGCCGCGCGCCAGTCCTGGGCGTTGCCCGGGCTGCCAGCGGGCAGCCCCACCCCCCGGCTCGAATTCGGTCTCTGAGAGTTTTTTGCTGAGCCGCGGAATTGGCAGAGCACCGCACGTCTCCCAGACATCCGGCGTCGTTCGGCCACGCGCAGAGGGGGTCAGGGGGTCGGGGGGAGGGCTCCTTGGAAGCACCCCTGCGTCTTGGAAGGCGCGGGCCTTGTCTGCAGATGTAGGGCCGGCGCCTTCTGAGAAGTTGCCTCCGTCGAAGAAGCCTTCCCCCGCCCCCCTGCCCCCTTTCTGCGCGCCACCACGTCG